AATACCAAGTGTTAGCCAAGACATAGAATAAAGAGAACTCTTACACACTGACAGTGTGAATGTAAACTAGCACAAACACTCTGGAAAACTGTTTGGCAGTATCTATGGGAGCCAAATAAACACATTTTCTATGACCCAGAAATTCTACTCCTAGAAATGCTCGCCACACCCACATCCCAAAGATGTATAAAAGAATGTTCAAAGTCCATTATTTGCAGCTGCCAAAACTGGAAGTGTGAAAACGTCTACCAATGGCAAAATGAATAAGCAAATTAGGAAAGAATCCTACAGAGGAATACTATACATACAACAAAGAAAAACAACAAAGTAAAAATACACACAACACAAACGTGGCTGAATCTCACAAATATTATTTGAGTAAAAGAAGTCAGGATGAACAGTATATTCTGTATCTTTCCATTTTTGTCAAGTTTAAAAACAAGCAAACCCAACTGATGGCGGTAGATGTCAGCTGTGACCACTGGGCCTGGGGAACAATAACTGGGAAGGGGCCCAGGGAGTGCTGGCACTATTCTCTTTCTCATCTGGATGATGACAGAACAACTATACACACTGTGAAAAAATTCATCAAGATGTACACTTATGATTTGTGCATTCATCTGTACGGATGCTATGCTTATATACAGTATGCCTTAAAGATTAAAAGTAAAAAAATCACCATATCATAAAATAGGCCACAAATGCAAAAAAAAAAAAAAAAAAAAAAAAAAAAAAAAAAAAGAACAAAATGTTTTTTCTCTACACATACAGAACTGCAAACTGTTAAGTAGAATTTTTTTCTTATGCTGAAATCCTGTTACCCATGTTACACATTTGTTGACATTTCAGAATGCATTTAAAAATATCAGGTATCAAAGTAAGAAAATATGGTAAGAACAAAATATTGGAGATATACTTTCCCTCAAATGAAACAGGTGAACATAATGAATTAGATACCAAAGGAACAAAACTGGCCTAATCAGGATCTTTTCATTGTAGCAAACACACGGACTAATCTAGACATGAAAACATGCTAAACATAAATGAGGCCTCGAGAAAGTGGGGCAAGCCTTCACTGAAATGTGACACTTGATTATCTGCCCCTCACACCACCTGATTTTTGTTTGGTGTGTACCAGAATCAGCATTAGTGGGAGCATGAATACTGCTGACTTATTGACAAACACTGGTGCCTACTGAGCTTAGTCATGGAAGCCTGGCTTCCAATAAGCCCTCACATGGAAACCCACTATGTGTACAGATGAAGAGTGTTACTGCTCTCCTCTGGATGAAATGCAAGGCCAGGAAACCTGGAGAACTGAGGCCACTCTCCTGCCTGGCCTACAAGGCCAAGGGAAGGCCCCAGATGAACCTCTGTATCCTGTGAAACAGTGCTTCCCTCATGACCCCACCTGACTGAGCCAATCTGGGAGGTTAAAAAAAAAAAAAGAAAAAAAGAGCCCTTCCTCTCTCACCTCTTCAGGCTTACCCCTCCCAAAGACACACACCCAGGCAACCTTCTGAAACACAAAAGGGCCATTCTTGGGTGAAGGGTTTACAAGGAGCTAAGGATGCAACCAGACATAGGAGTGTTACTGCACAGACCTCAAACAGCATCACACAGAGATTGTGAGAGTTCACAGATTGGGATTCTCTTAATTCTGGGGGTTTATGAGACCAAGATTAAGTCAGTCCTCTTTTCTGCCCAACTCCACTTTTTAAAAAAATTTCTTCAACCCCATTATGAGTTTCTTGGAAAACATACTTATTGCTAGCTTCTTCTAAAGATACCTGATGTCAAAACACTCCTTAGGCTCCCATGTCCCCCATATGATTTTGTCAATTTACTGGGGTAAAACCCTATTATACACAGCACCCACCTCTCCTGGATGATGCTTCTCTACTTTCTGAGAAAATGTTGAAAGTCAGCTATTATTTTGCAAGCTGATGGTCATTTGGGGATCTTCCTTGTAGTATGCATAACCCTTTTAGTTTAATCCCAAATAGGGATGAATCCCTCAGAAAGGCCCAGGCTACATTGTATGACTCCCTCCCCCCCCCAAAACTGCTGCTGCCGACACACACTGGGAAAGGGCCCCATCAGCTCATCATAAATGGATACAGCACATATCCTGTATATGTTTTGTGAGATAGGGAGGCTCTAGAACAAACTGCCTGTGGAGGGCGGGGTACTGGGAGAGAAGCCACACATTCTTCTACAAGTTACATGCAACTGATGTAATCAGACTTGTAGTTCCTCGAAGCCATGATTTCTTATTTCAATCTCTTATGCCTTCAGAGATGGGACAGAACAGATAGTAAGAAAATTACTGGCTAATTGGCCAGCGGTTACGCTGCAAGTTAAAAGTGCAGGGCTTGCCCCCCAACCACCAAAAAAAAAAGAAAAAGAAAAAGAAAGAAAAGAAAAAAAAGAAAAAGAAAATCCTCCTTTGCTCTCTTCAAGTTTTTTCTTTTATTAGTATTTTTATAGAGGCCTTTGTTCCCCAGACAGCACTTTTACATGCAGTATATATTTTCATCTTCACATAGTCCTGGTAAAGCAAATTATTATTACCCTGATCTTATAGATGAGTAAAGTAAGGCTCAGGAAGTTGAAACCCATCAACAAACTGCTAGGAGGAAGCATAAACAGAATCTCAGGCCACTCTTCTTGTTACACCTCATAGATGACCCTCTCTCCTGCCTCTTGCTTCTTCACCCTTTCTTTTCTTCTGCTCACACTCACACACATCCGTCCCTGTACTGGGGACAGTGTCCTCTTTCCTCTGCCAGGCCAGTGGTGTGGCTGGTGCCACCAAGAGCCCTTCCTGCTTCATGCTCATGATGGAAGGAAAGCATCTACAGTCCATTTCTCAGTGCCCTCATCTCTATCCCGGCTCTCTCACACTTCTCCCTCCAGACATGCTACAGAAAGGGTGAACGCTGGTGCTCAACTCACTCAAAGGTACAGGCGTTCCTCGGTTCATTCCCAGGAAACGCTATTGTAACACTTCCATCCAACTGGTTTCCGTTGGGTAAATCAACACCACCGTGAGCTAGCGACTCATTAACTACTTGAAAGTTTCAATGGGGACATGTTTTTTTTTTTTTTTTTTTTTTTTTTAAATTTTTTTTTTCAACTTTTATTTATTTTTGGGACAGAGAGAGACAGAGCATGAACGGGCGAGGGGCAGAGAGAGAGGGAGACACAGAATCGGAAACAGGCTCCAGGCTCCGAGCCATCAGCCCAGAGCCCGACGCGGGGCTCGAACTCACGGACCGCGAGATCGCGACCTGGCTGAAGTCGGACGCTTAACCGACTGCGCCACCCAGGCGCCCCAATGGGGACATGTTTTATTGGGGTTCCAGTGAAAAGCTGTGGTTACAGTGACACTAAGAGGAATCAGGTGATGGGAAAAAAAACTAAAATTATTCTAGGTATTTTTAAATATGAAATCATCCTCATGAAGTGCTAATGAAAAGCATCTGAGCTTCTGGATCGCATGAAACAAAACCATGTTTTGCCTTTGCGCTTGCAAAGCTAGCTGATCTAGTTGTAAATAACTGTCATGTCAAAGGAACATGGAAAAAAGGGTGTCCAAGGGGAAGGCTTCTAGAATAAGTCTATTATGCTGTCTTATCTATATGTTATATAGTTATTATGTTCATTTCTGATAAGGAAAATGAAGACCTGAGAGGATAATTAACCTGCTCAGAGATGAAAGAGGCAGAGCTAGAAGTAGGTGAGTCTCTCCAATTCCTGAACCATTCTAGAATAGATGGTACTCTACTATACCATCTGTATTTTCCTCCCATCTGTGCATTTCTCCCATCAAGTAAGACAATCTGTCAAGTAAGACAAGCCCAAGAAGTCTAAATGGATTAGAAACTATGAAAAAAGACATTTCATTTTTTTTTAACATTTATTTATTTTTGAGACAGAGAGAGACACAGCATGAATGGAGGAGGGGTAGAGAGAGAGGGAGACACAGAATCGAAAGCAGGCTCCAGGCTCTGAGCCATCAGCCCAGAGCCCAATGCGGGGCTCAAACTCATGGACCATGAGATCGTGACCTGAGCTGAAGTCGGACACTTAACCGACTGAGCCACCCAGGCGCCCGAAAAAAGACATTTCAAATAGGCACATGAGCTATCTCGACCCTGAATGACCACTCCATAAGCCCTACAGGGCCCTTCCCCAGATGCAGGGCCATCTACAGCAGGTTCGCAGGCACAAGCACCATATGCTGGATCCTACATGGTCCAAGGAAGACGTGGTACTTTCTGTCAACTCTATCTTCGGTGTAAAAAGTTTATTTTTGCACTTTTTAAAAACTGCAGTAAGCAGTTTATTTTTCATAAGGAACCTACCACTGTGCTGCCACTTCCTTTCTCCTAATACTTAAAAGACTTCTGGGTCTTCTGCAGCTCTGCAGCTGATCCCAGTGAGTTTGGTTCTGGCTTTTCAAAATAAAGAAGGTGGTAGCACAGCCACCACCACCAACCCGACTAAGGGGGTACGCACCACTCGAAAGAACACTGCTCTGCGCATACTACCCTCAGCTGCCGTCCTGTGCAGGGCTCTGCACTCACGCTACCCCGTGGAGCTGAGGTCAGCACTCCAAGGACTGGGTGCACGGTACCTTCTGTTCAAGGGCAGTTTATGACTGCCGTCATCGTGCGGGTGGGAAGAACCACGGATCACGAACAGAACCAACAGAAGTCCTGCTGCGTTCGCGCAGTCTACGACCCTGTGAAAAAGTCATGTGCACTCTCCCTCGCCTGAAAACTAAACCAGAGTATCAAAACTGAGCCAGAACCCCTTTTTTTTCCCCAACAAGAACGAGACCTGAACTGGAGCACCAAATCGTGGAGAAATCTTTGCTCAATGGGATGTGCTGAACTTCTTAAAAGCCTTTCCGTACACTTCATTCGCGGGGGCAAAGAAATGCTCACTCAAGTGTGCACTTACTTCGGTGCACACACACTCACACCCCTTACCAAAAGTAACTTCTCCTTTGCCAGCTTTGTCAAATAGCTGAAAAGCCACCATGAACAAAGCATCCGGGGCACACAGGACAGATTCAAATGCTACGAATTCTTGAAAGGATATTAATCTGCAACATAAAACAAGCACAAAGCATAAAATCAGTAGCTTGCAGAAAATAAAAGCATACACAAACACACACTGAGGAAAAAAATTAAATGTCACTGTCAAAAAATTAAATTCAAACCTAAACATTTATAAACACTCAGCATTTCCTTTCATATACAGTGGACTGAAATAACAATGTACAGAATCTAAAGAACATGACAGGTTTGAATTATAATTTCAAATGTAAACTGTATTAGGCAACATAGCATTTCTGTTTCAGGCAAATCAATGGACTCTAGAATTAAAGCTTATTTTAGATTAAGATGTGACTGTGTAGCAGCAAAACAGCACAGCTTTGTTATTCATTGATACCTTTATACACCATGTAAAAATGGTTCACAAAGATTCATTTATTGTCGATACCTACTGACCGCATGTGGATTCAACTAGGGATAATATGGTTAGGGGTGATGGAATACAAACAGATATGAAATGTGACACCAAGGAACTTCTAGTCTGCTAAGGCACATAACACTAGTCTAGATCTGGAAATAGTATAAAGGGAAGACCAACCTAAGACAGGGACCAATATTATAACAGAATTGCGGTAGGAAAGCAAAAAAAGCTTTGCAGCAAAAATGGAATACAAGCTGGGCCTTGAAAAATGAGTGAAATTCAGGTGTATAGTAATGGGCACAGAAGGGCAGGCACTCCGTTGGGGGATGCTTACAGAAAAGCAGATGCGGGGCGCCTGGGTGGCGCAGTCGGTTAAGCGTCCGACTTCAGCCAGGTCACGATCTCGCGGTCCGTGAGTTCGAGCCCCGCGTCGGGCTCTGGGCTGATGGCTCAGAGCCTGGAGCCTGTTTCCGATTCTGTGTCTCCCTCTCTCTCTCTGCCCCTCCCCCGTTCATGCTCTGTCTCTCTCTGTCCCAAAAATAAATAAACGTTGAAAAAAAAAAAAAAGAAAAGCAGATGCAAGAAAGCTAGGGCGTGTACAAGGAAAATGGCAAGGAACTGTAGAGCACATGAAAGAAAAGATGGTGAAATGAGATTAGAAGTGTCAGGCCAGAGATGGGCATGAAAACAAAAGGAGGGCCTGGTTTTTCCTCTCTAGGAAGCAAGCAGTTATTGAAAGTCTTTGATGGGCTGCCTGGGTGGCTCAGTCGGTTAAGTGTCCAACTTTGGCTCAGGTCATGATCTTGCAGTCCGTGAGTTTGAGTCCCACGTTGGGCTCTGTGCTGACAGCTCAGAGCCTGGAGCCTGCTTCAGATTCTGTGTCTCCCTCTCTCTACCCCTTCCCCGCTCATGCTCTGTCTCTCTCTATCTCTCAAAAATAAGTAAACGTTAAAAAAAAGAAAAGAAAAGAAAGAAAGTCTTTGAGCAAGGTCATGACACAATCAAATCTGGTTGTTTGGAACAACATGATAAGTCACAGATGCTGTGCCTTCCAAGGAGTACATGCACCAACAAAAGCTTTTCCAGAAATGTTCTTTGTCACTATTTTGTATTTTAATTGTCCAAATATTCCAATGATACACTGAAATAGTCCAAGTTTCTGGAGGATATAGAGGAAGGAAGAAAACAGAAGCATTTTCCTATGTTTCTCAAAACAATTACTTCTAAACATCTCATAGAGAGAACACATTTTTGTACAAAGTACATGTAACAAAGTTAGCTGTTTCCCAGAATGTCACCTGATTGTAATAATGTCACAAAGAAAGGAAAATCCTATGGAGTGTTCAATATACTGTCTATCGCTGTCATTCACCACCCAAAACACAACCTTCTGAATGCACGGAGACACTGGGGAACAGCAGGTGTTACAGAGGAATGCATGCCCAGAACACCTTCTCTACCATTCAGTCTGTCTCACTGAGAATCTACGTGCAAGCAAGGCCAGAGTTGGGCCTCAAGGAGCTCACAACCTACTAGGCGAGGGCAAGGCAGTCATGTGCACATATACCCACCAGAATGCACAAGCTGAGGGTCAAAGGTAACAGAAGAAATAAAGTGTTAGGGGCATAAAAAGAGGAGCAATCCATTCTGCTACAAAACTGGGAAACACCTCATGGAAGTGTGGCATTTCAAAAAGAGATTTTAAATGTGTGTTTGTTTTTGAGAAAGAGAGAGAGAGAGCGCACAGGGAGGGGCAGAGAGAGAGGGAGAGAGAGAATCCCAAGCAGGCTCCACGCTGTCAGCACGGAGCCTGAGGCAGGGCTCAAACCCACAAACTGTGTGATCATGACCTGAGCCAAGATCAAGAGTCGGACAGATGCTTAACTGACCGAGCCACCCAGGTGCCCCTAAAGAAGAAATTTTGAAGTTGAGAAGATCTTAGAGATCATCTACTTCAACCTCCTTATGTTACTTTTGAGGAAACCAGAAGTTAATGACTGTGTGACGGTGAAGCACTTGTGGCATCTGGGCCTAAACAGCAGGCGTCCTGGTCTCCATCTGACTGAGACAGAATTCCAGCTGGTAGGGGAAAGTGGAAAGAAGAGTGAAGGGCAGAGAGAGGTGGTTCCACACTGAGGAAAGAGCGGAGCAGAGAACAGAGGTGACAAGAAATGAGGTGTGCTGTGGTTAAGGGAAGGCTGCACGTGTTGCCGACCTTACATCTAACAGGTCATGAGGAGTGAAGAGTGGCTTGAGCTATAACGCTGGCCACCTGAGCAGGACCTTAAAGGCCACCTTACAAAATCTTGACTTTTTTGTAAACAGTGAGAAGTCACTGAAGGCTTTGGGAGTTAATAAATATCAAGTTCATATCACAGAAAAGGAATTGGTGTGGAAGATGAATTTCACAGAGGACAAAGACGAGATGCAGGGAGACAGCCTACGAGCTGGGGACAGCAGGGGTGTAAGCCAGAGCTACCATACCAAGACTGAAAAGAGAGGAAAGGCTAGAGAAACGCAGTTGAGGCAGAAATGACAAAACTTAGTGGTGACTGGATGTTGGAGGCTGAGGGCCAGGGAAGAGGTCTAGCTACTCCCAAGACCTCCAACCTGGATAACTGAGTGAGACGATGATACCACCACCAAAGGTAAAGAAGAAGAGAAAAAAATGAAAAAGAGAGAAGGGACTGTGAGCCAGTAAGACCAAATCTGACCATGTTGCATTTGAGGTACCAGTGGGACACTGAACATCGTGTCCAGCAGGAAACCAAAAGGACCGGCGTGAAACTCGGGAGAGGAGCTGACAGGAGTTGAACCCCACCACTCAAATTCATGATGAAGTCCTAACCCCCAGGACCTCAGAATATGCCTTTGCTTGGACATAGGGTTGTTGCAAATGCAATGAGCGAAGATGAGCTCATACTGGAAGAGGGTGGGCACCTAGTCAGTATGACTGAAGTACACATAAAAAAGGGAGATGTGGACACAGACATGCACACAGGAAAAACACCATGTGAAGATAAAGGGGTAGTGAGCAGATGCTTTTACAAACCAAGGAATACCAGAGATTTCCAACAAATCATTAGACGCTAGGGGATAGGCGTGCAACAGATAGATGCTCCCTCATGGCCCTGACAAGAAACCACGCTTGCTGACACCCTCGATCCCAGCCTCCAGAACTGTGAGACAGTAAATGTATTATTGTGTTTTAAGTCATCTCATTTGTGGTACTTTGTTACAGCAGCCCTAGAGAACCAACACAGAGGCCAAGATTGGAAACACAGATCTGGGAGGTTTTAAACAAAGGCTACTTAAGGCTATGAATGAAACTGTCCAGAAGCATCTCCATCCGGAGGCACACTCAGCATCCTCTACGACGCGGCCACAGCAGAGAGGGGAAGGTGTTTCTGGGCTACTTGCTTTTAACCGCCACTCCAACCCCAGGGCTCCTCTGAGCAGGTACCAACAACCACACAGCCACAGTGCTCCCCAGTTTAACTTGCTGGCAGTTTGTCAAGGCAGAAAACAATCCTATTTGCTCAATTATCATTGCACAGACGTTAGGTTAATTAAAAGCGAATTGAGCAGTGTGTTCTCCAGAAAAGAGGCACTTTTTTTTTTTTTAATTTAATGGTCTGAAGAAAGAAAGGCTTAAATATATAAAAAGAGCATCTTTCCTCTCTCAAAATGGTTTGAGAAACCTGAACATTATCTATGTGGGTGAACAAATCCTTGTCTGGCAGTGTCAATGTGGTTTCATAACCATATCTGGCCAATGAATACTCTGGTATTTTAGGCATGTTACAGATACCAAAAAGGTATGTAATTTGGTAATCCTGTTAGATACAAGTATTATACATCTATGTAGGAGGTATACAGATGAACCATGAAATCATAATGTCTTACTGTTCAGCAAGATCATTTTGGATTTTCAAAGTAATCTGACTAGAAGGCTATCAGAATAATTACATAGTACTATATATTCATTTGCAGCATGCTATTTAAACACACACACACACGCACACACATATTTCATATAAACAGTCCTTCGGTCTTGCTTTACAGATTTAATGGGTATTAGCGTCAATTACAACAAAGAATACAAGCTTAATCAAGTTCAGACCTGGCTGGTGAGCTCACTTGGTTCCTTTTCCACCCAAAACTTCTCTGACAACACCGGATGCCCTCAGAAATAAATCACACAACTTTGATGACTGTGGCTCCATGACTGTGTCCGTGGAACAGTGTCTGACACCAGTGTTCACCTGCAGCAACTAATAGTGCGAGGTGGGTCAGCGAAGAGAAGCAAACCCACAAGTCACTTTTTTCACAGGCCTACAGCCACTCAGATGAGGGAGGAGTAGGTTTCTACTCCATTTCCTGGCTCCAGAGATTTTTTTAAGGAAGTTGTTTTGTGTTCAAACCACCAGAGCCATCATTCTCTTTACTCTAAAGCCATTTTTAACAGCAGCAACTTTACAACTCCTTGAAAGTCCAGGTAAAGTAGCCCAAACACCACATACTACAACCAAATACAGAGCCAAGGAGAAGAGGGATTAAGAGTAGACTGCATCAGTATGCTGTACTTAGGGCTGTGTAAGACGACACACCTATACACACAGAAAG